CTCGTGGGCAGAGGAGAGCAACTGTAACTCCTCCAACCTGGCCTGCGAGCTGCTGGGCTCCAAGAGCGGATACTCTGGACTCAGTCTTGGCTTGACATGGAGAAGCCCAAGTCCAGCCCTCGTCCAGCACAGGCCAATGTCATCACTACTACAAACACTGCCCTTCTGTCCTCTGTGTGTGTCTGAGAGATAGAGAAGTCTGATACCCACCCGTGGGGCAATCACATCCACCCGTTCCTGTCAGTGTCTGTTTGTAGGGGGTGAAGTGGGAGGGTGGGACTTAATGTGGGAGGGCTGGTGTGTCTGAGTGATCCCACACATGTCCAGGGTCTTGTCATAGACTGGCATCCCTTTGTAGAAGCTGTTTTCACTTGTATCTGTCTGACCATATGAATGTCTGCAGTCATCCAAGTATCAGGTCAGCCCATATGTACATCACCCTCTATGCTTATCAGGGGCTGTGTGGGCCTCTTTATCTCTAGGGGCTCCCTAATACTGTTCAGGTGCAAGCATGCTTGATTGGGAGTCATAAGCCTGCACTGCCTCTTTATTCCAACACAGGAGCGCCATCAGGGTTTGCCCACTGTCCCACCCGTGCTCCTCATGGTCAGCATGGGGCAGCTTCTTTGCCTCCATCTGGCTGTCTCTCTGTCTAGGAGAGCCACGGAGCTGCAGGTGCATGTTCTGCTTCTCAGTCAGGCCCTGGGTGTGACTTTGCAGTGTCACTCAACCTGAATTGCAGCATCTCTGTCTCTGCAGTTCTTTCCTGCAAAGCTTCCATTTCCCCTCCCTCTTTATCTCCTGAGCTGGGGCTCTCTTCCACTCCCTCCCAAAGCTCAGTCCACCTCTTCCCTCCCTGGCTGGGTCTGCATGTCAGCAGCTCCATATATCTCCCTACATCTCTCCTGAAGCTGCCTCCGTCTTTGCATATGTCTCAGTAACTATTTCCATATCTCCTCATCAGCTCCTCCTCTGGTTTCCTCTCACCCTAAGGCTCTGTCTCTGCCTCCTCCTTTCATGTCCTCATCTCCATCCCACCCCTGAGCTCCTCAGATCTTTTGTCCTCTGCCACAACTGTCATCCTGCT